GAAAAATAAGTGGGGCAGGGGCACATATCAATATATTATATATAACATAAACATATATATATATGTGTAGTATCAATAAAACATAACTATTTTAGATGCTGTCCTTAATCTGTATTTCCAATTTCTAACACTATCAGAAAAACATTTTAGAACCTGTTCAGAGCCAAAATATCTGTAATATGCACGTACAGCACCTACCATCTCCTCTCAACTGCTTCTCAAGGTTTAATTTGCATTGACCTCCGCCAGCTAGAAGAACCCACCTTAAACTCTGATTTTGCTTATCTATTTACAGCAGGCAGTGCAGTGAAACGCAATCAATAATGCATTTCCTGTGCTCKCTCCCCAAAGTGCTGCCTAGGAACAACAGATTTCTTACCTTTCTTTTTAAACTCTCCACATGTAAAAGACTGATGCTGAACCCATACAGGAGAAGTTTCCTCTATGGAAAGCCTTCATTTATACAGGAACCTGCACTTCTACCAATTCACACACTGCCAATGATGTAACTACATTTCTGTACCCTGCTTTCCCCAGTCTCAGTTYTGTTGTACTACAGATAAAGTGACAAACTAAGACACAGCTGCATCAAGTGCTACAGCACGAGTAGAGTGCAGAAAGGAAATCCTGCAGGCACAGYGAGCAAAATGAAGTACTGAGATGTGAATACAGCAAGAACAATTTAAATCTCCCATGTCCTATAAGTGACTTTAATCAGGACAGACAGAGGACAAGGATTTCMATCTGATCAGGACAGAAGAGGACAAGGCTTTCAATCTAGAAAGATAGAAGCCAATACATCCCAGGGGCAAAAAACCCCACAAGTAACACAGTAAGATTAAGATTGTTTGCTGAAACTGGAATTGTTCAAAAGATTACAATAAATARCAAAGAAAATTTAAGCTTGCAGTGTGTTACACTAACCAAAACAACTGTTTAAGAGTTTGAAATTCATGTACAGCAGTACATCACTGTACCATGGAGAGGARTTCCCTGCTTTTAATTCTGGTACCACCACACACCCATTTAACTTCCAAGCATTTTTACTTCCAAAAGGTGCTGAAATAAAATCAAGGAAGGAAATGGTTGTGAAACTAAAAAAAAAACCAAAAAAAAAATCCCCAAATCAAAACCAAAACCCCCAAAACAAACCAACGAAAAAGAAACCACACAAAAAACCAAAACAAAAAACCCCACAAAAAACAAAAACTCAATAAACTAAAACTCAACAAACCAAAAAACACCAAACAACAAAAAACAAATCAAACAAAAACAAAAGACAAACAAAAAAACCCACAACCAAAAATTAATTCACAAGTAAAGATCAAAAGAGCTGTGTGATGAATTAAGGTGAAGAAAACTGTCTGTAATCATTTACACAAATTTTACAACCAGAAGAAAWTAGTAACAGAAGCTACAGAGCATTGCAAATAAAATAAAATTAATCATAGGAGAAATTGACACACCCACAATGTTTCCTGCATTAATACTCAGCTATGGAATAGAAACCCATAGCTCTACTACAACTTCAATTTCTCCAGCAATAACCATTCCCCAGCCCTTCAGCTCTTCTTCCACCTAACACTGGCCCAAGTGTGCCAACATCTGSRTAAGAATGCACATGCTCAACTATGAATTCTGTAAAACTGGGCATGGAAGTCAAACCAGTCACCAATTCTCTGATACTTTATTAATGCTAATGATGTTAATTAAGGTTCTAGATCCTCAAGTGCTAGCAAAAAGCTCAGCATCACGATTTTCAGAGAATGGCCAGTTAAAAGACCTGAAATGCTGGATGGCCAGTTAAAGACCTGAAATGCTGAATGGCCAGTTAAAGATCTGAAATGCTGAACCTGACTCCCTCTYACAGGCTTGTGCTAAGAGAATTGTGCTTCTCCAGGTACATGCTAAAAAGCCATGTAGTCATCAAATCAATTTAAAGCAACTCAGCAGTTTCTTGAAAGGCTTTGGGATTTATTTCTTCAAAATGAATTGTGAGGGCTTTTACACCTTTCATGGAAATASCCAAACTTTAAAACTAGAATGACAGAATAGCTCCAGATGAGCGCTGGTATTTAGGGGGAAAAAAAGCTAATAAAACAACCCACAAGAGCATTCAATAGAAGAATTTGAGAAAAGTGTAGCTATTAACAGCAAAGATACAGTTTTTATTTGGCAACCACTGGAAGATCTCGTAAGAACTAAATGTCCTTGAATTTACTTCTGCAACTACACAGTTCAAATCTAAATGGATTTGGATTTCAGGCTAAATCCCATTTCACACCTTACTGCTTATATTTCATGAAAGCCACACATTACAGGGATTACCAGTTCATGGAAACATTACATGTTTCTCYTTGGGGCAGGCAACTGAAGGAATGATTCTGCCTAGACTGGATCATTAGCTCCTCTTCACACACATTTGCACACTTGTCCACTTCCTGACATTCAGCATTAGCAACTAATTTGCTGAAGTTTTGATTACATCCTTCCCCACAGAACAAATCCTGAGGAATGCTGCTAATTTAAAGACTGCAGATGAACAACAYTGAATGAAAGGTTTTTGCTGTTGARTTGGTATGGGCATTRTTAGAGCATACTCTCAGCATAKAAYACAAAATATGCAGATTTTCCAATCAGCCAATGCCTACCTAAAAACAAAACAGGTAATGCATCCTTAGTAGCCAGCAGTTCCATGCAAGTGTCAACATCCGAAACAGTATTCTGTTTACTTACAAAAGCAATGGATACACTCTTAGATGAGTGAGTATCTTGAAGTTCTATTTGCTTCAAAAAGAGCAACTTKGAGGTACAGAATAGATTCTTGAGCATTTGACTCATTTGTTTAAAACCCTMATCCTGAAGTGAGAGCACAAGCAGCAGAGTTGGAGGAAGATTTTAAGTAGCACTCCAGGTATTTAAGAGTAAAGACACCAATCCTGTGAACAAAGCAGTGAGTACTGCCAGCAGCAGTACYGAGGCCAAATGGCAAATGCAATTCACAATCCAGTCCTGTGAGCAGCAGACTCTGAATCTGCCCAGCAGACAATCTCYTGGGCTAACTGCTGGCACACAGGTGAAACACAAACCCTTTCAAAAGGCAAAAGGAAAGGAGCAAAAAAGTACTCCATGCTATGTTTCTTCAGCAGATTAGAAAATAGGGTATACTGTTCTAAAGYCCAGGGCTCTCTGTGTCAATCTAGRTGGTACAAACTGGCTAGRTAAGAAACAGATTTTTGTACTTTTAGACTCCTCTGAACATGGAGAGGAGTGGAGGGATGAGAGATCGGCCTGAGACATTTCAACACAGGTTAGCTAGYGCCCTTTTCAGCAATTGTTACAGACTTCAACTGAAATTTGAATATCCCACACTTTCTAAACAGGTGGGTACACAACTCCTGCATCTCTTGCTAAATTGGGGACAACCACACCCATGCGCACTTGCAAGCATCGATCCCTAACCTGGCGGCTCTTGCTACTCAGTGGCAAGCATCAAACGCCACCCTCACCTGATGCTTGGCCGTCTCCATACCCTCCAGAACTGTCGTCTTGAAGTCCTCCTGCTTGCCCTGTGGAAGGAAAGAGGAGAACTCAGGGACCTTACTCCATAAGTTAAACCATACTGGACATAAAGGCCCGGCAGTTGGCGTTTTAGGTATTAAATTTCACCAACTAACTAAACCCATTTTCTGAGAATCCCAAYTTCTGTAACCTAAGTTCAGGGCACCAAAAATCATGTTCTAAAGTGTTATCCATGTTACTGGAACGCTTTACATCAGATTTTATAGGAAATAAAGAAGTACACCATATGTAGCATTCCTGGTGGCTAAATACTTATGATCTGGTGGATGGATACCATCAGACTTTATGGATCCCAAATCCTAAGAATTTGATAATCTTGCCTTTGATGCTCCCAAGTCTCCCCATGTCCCAAGGAGATAGTTTAATGCATTTTGAAAAGCCTTTTATGTTCAGGAAAGCCTATTTTTTTTTTTGCCATAAACCCTTCCTTTAAGCCTGATGCTAGAACATTACTTGAAAGGTTCAGACCACTTACTTCAGCTTCAGTGCCCTTGATACACCATCACTGTTGTCACACACTAAGGTTGCCTTTGAAGCCAAATACTGGTCATACAATTGATCAGTGATGTGATCAATATCCAGGACTGAAAGACATCAGTCTTTCGACATTCTCAGCAGTGGAAATTTGAAGAAAGGCTAAGCACACATCCAAAAGATCTGAAGAATTTTCAGAATTACCTTGGCCTACGTSTAAGTCCTAAAYAGGACTGCAACACAAGCAGGAACCRAGCACATTGAGAAGAGCGATGAGTACAGCTGCAGTGTCTGCAGGAACAAAGCCATTACACACCTCACACACTGCTCACTTTACAGGAGACTCCAACTCTGAGTTGAGCTCATGAGCAGTATTCTCCCACAATCACGTTTGCCTGAAGTCTGTCACCTGCAGAATGCAGGAAGCCATAGCACACTCCAGAGATGGCCCAGCGCTGCTCAGCTGGCTCCTGCTGTACCAAGGCCCCTTCAAACCACACACTTCAATTGTCAGTAAGTCCAAACCAACATGCACTGAAACACTGCAACAGTCACTGAAAAGGAACAACCACTTYCTAGAGCATAACTGTTCAGGTGTAATCTCTGAACAGATAATAGCAAGGTTACCTGAAGCTAAACATACAATTGTTAACACTCTTTCAGAGTGTGGGTGGACAATTTTGCCAGAATGTAATTTAAGGCTCTTAGTGGATACACTAACTGAGAACAACTTCATATGAAGTACAGATTAAACCTAAATCTAAAGCAATACTCAGAAAGCTAGCCAATTGTTTCCATACTGTGCTAACCTSGATTAATCTAGAATGTCACAACATTAAACATCTACAGATAAAACAAAATAGAAACTGAAACAAGACAGACATTTTCACTCAGTACAGCAGAGGAGCAATAGTTAGTACTTGTATAAAATCAGTCTGCCAGGAGGGTAGTCAAAAACCCACAGAGAGACTGTGACAGGCCTCCCAAGACCCAAAGCTATGATTCCATGAATAAACATATCTGCAAGAGCAAGATAAAGTTCTTTACTTGATCTACATTGCAAGTACTTTATTTTGCTGAGAAGACCTGCTTCCATTCTGGGAAAAACTAATAGAACTGAAATATGAACATTTACACTCAAGCACAGGCCATTAATTTGCAATAGAAGTTACCTGTGTCTTCCATAAGTTAAGAAAATTAAAAAGATTCTGACATCAGCCTATGGCATTCATAATCCCTGGATTAGCACTGACAATGAACAGAGGAAAAAATTGTTCTGAGCTTACTCACAGAAAGAAATCAGTATCTTCCTCGTCTCATCATTATTACTGATTGCTTRGACACAATTGTAAATACTCAGTCTGAGCAGAGAAGTATGGAAACAAGGCCTGCTAGTAAAGATTGCCTCTCCTTTGCTAGAAAAAAGGTTCTAGTTGCAAAGAAACTGGTAGTAAGCAAACAGCTAATCAATGTTAACATCAAACGATTGCAGCTCAACAGAGTGTGTGCAAGAGCAGAATCTGCTCCAAGTCTCAAGGCAACAGAATAACAGACCATGAGCAGAAGAGCAATCAGGAAGAAGGTCCACAAAGGAGCCTACTTCATATAATTATCCACTGTCTCAAAATACAGAATAGCTGTGCATGAGTATCAGAGTACTGAATTTATTTAGGAAAATAGTCAAGTCAGATAAAATACAGAGAAAAAGCATAACTAAGTTTGACTATTCCCTTGATGTTAATCTTGATCATATTCAGTTCCTTGGGAAACAGCACCTAATAAGATAGGATTACTATAAAGTAAGAATACCAACAATGCTAAAAGGCCAGGAACTAATGAAGAAAATCTTCTGTAGTTCTAAAAATGAAAATACAATTTGGTGAGGTAAAACAAAACAAAGATCCTTAGAGGAAAAAAACACAAAAGAAGCAAGCTTCTTGATTCCAAAAAGCATATTGGCAAACAAGAACACATGTTGTCATTCAGCACTGAAAGGGAGTTTGGAAATCTTTTGCTATTAGACAATTTTCCTCAAGTAAAAAGAGAAGAGATACTCCAAGGAAATTATCTTAACCATGAAATACTGTCACACCTTTGAAAACTGCTTTGCCATAGCATGCAATACATCTTGCAAATGCAGACTGTAATAGCCAATACACCTAAAATTCCGTACAGCTGAACACCTGAATGGGATCTACTCAAAGAACATCAGCATTTTGCTGTCTCCTGGTGTGTGACACTTAATAATCCCCTTCACTGTAAACTGTCTGTGGACACAGGCTAATAAAATATCAGACAATGGCACCACACATTTGTAAGTTGCACAATCAGGCTTTTCAACTCAAAAGCTGTAATGTGACAGCTTTATGCTTCTACCTGCATYTTTACAAGCTTTAAACACAAAAAGGAAGTTTTTAAGGTCTGCAATGAGAATAACTTAATAGAATACACTGGCTAACTAAAATTTCCCTACATTATCAGGATTCAATCCTACTCTAGTATTACTGTGCAATTTAGTATTTCCTATTGAATACTTCAATTTTTTCTTCAAAGTGATAGAGAAAGAAAACCTCAATTATAAACACAGCTTGTATATACAGCAGACTCCATGCTGCCTCCTTCTAATGCGTGGCTCAATTAGAAGTTTCAATGCACTTTTAGCAGCCAGCATAAGATGATGAGATGTTCTTGATGCCTATATTCATAAAGACAAAAATAGAGAGATCTACAAACATATATAGTCTCAGAAACCTTTACAGTTACAGCAAGACTAGCTATGGAATGACAACTTGAAATCTGTCTTCTTTCTACTTTACTGTTTCATGCCTATCACAGATTTTCTAGGAATTGAGAAATGATATGACCTGAAATCTACTCATTTCTAGGCAGCTAAATATAACCTGTTTGAAAATTGATTGTATTTAGATGGCTAAATACAGTCCTTACAAAATAACTGTTTAACAGGCTGTTGTGTGTACAGAATAGCATGACTCATTGTTACTTATCTTCCATGTTTCCTCCTTCAWGGGATAAAACCTGTTCCACTGTGCTTCACTGATTATGCCTCAAACTGAGTTCAATAATCATTCCTAGGGGCACAAAATGGAATCTGAGAGTATTAATATTAGGTATCAAGGACTAAACACAATTTCTAAGCTAAAATAAATAGTAAGCTTACAATACTTGCTTAATTAAGCCTATTCCAGTTTTGGTACATCRGCTACAACTGGGGTGGCAGGATTTTTATCATTACAAGTATTYCAGTCAAGCATATGAGCTATAGTATTCCTGTATCGAGGGAGGAGCCAACAGTTGCAACAAGGTTACAACGGCAAATCCTGAAAGATAAACCACAGTCACGATTTGTAACTTTTTTTCCTGCAACTGAAGGTAGGCATCCCCAAGCCAACACCCGTTCTAGGCCTTCATTCTCAAACTTGCCAGCCAAAAAGAAAATTAAGGTAACAAAAGACTAACAATGACTCACACAAGTGATGAACCTGCAAAGATTCAACTACTAGATTTCAGCTCGTCTAAAACCAACTTGTATACACATTATCTCATGAAGTCTCTTGACTCTGAACTTAGCAAAAGCATGATCTTCTAGACAGCTGAGTGATACACCACCAAAAGACCTCACAGATGGTGGCAGCTGTAAACACAATGGAGGCAAAGAATAGGGTACTGCTACTACCAAATTTCAAAAGCTGCCTGCTGAACAAGAGAGACCAAAATATTTCCCAATGTAAACTGAAGCTCTGTCAAAGATAATAAGGAAAGCCCTGAAGTTTAAGCAAACAGTATCCAACCAGAATTTAAAATAAGAGTCATAGTTTAAAGCCACAGGAATCACAGTAGATTAAATCTGTTCTTCTGCATAACAAACCTCCCATAAACCCAAAYTCTTCTCTCTCTCTGAGGAATAAGTAAGTGTTCATACATGAGCAGGTGTGGCAGCAGAGAGCCAGAAACTATTCTGGTCAATAAGCTTCCAAAGACAAATTAATAAGGATCATGAGAATCTAGCACAAGAAGTTTGGCTTCATTAGGAATTAGATTAATGCATATACCAAACTTCATCAGGCTGTTCTGCATTTCCCCCCTTCTTTCCCATATGGGGCCAGCAAATAAAGTACTGTAGAACAATTATTCAAAACCAAATTGAAACAAGACATGGGACTCATGATGCCACACCCAGTCCTTCCTAATTTATGTWAATAAATCAAGTAAATAGTGTCAGAGGAGAAGGTCTCTCTTTACTCACCAGATGGCTCCTCTGGCTCACTTTCATTCTCTTCTTCTGCAGGAGCTGGTGGAGGTGGTGGGGGTAATTTTTTCTCTTTCTCAGCTTTAGCATTTCTCTCTTCTTCAGAGTAATACTCATCTTCTGACAGGTTWGCAAGACTCTCATCCATCTCTCTATACTCCACCTGTAAAAAGCACAACAGAATATAAACACACTGAAGATGTCTGTAAGTGAGACTACTAACATTAATGTTGCAAATAACAAAACTGCATAGTTTAAAGAGAAGGCTTGAATTACCTTATGCAGAGTCTTATTGCAGATGCCATGTTATAAAATGCAACAAAGCTTAAAAAGTTCCAAATGTTTTTGCCTCTATAATAGGCACCCTATAATAGGAGCTTACTACTCATATCAAGCCTAGTTTATGTCTATTTGTTATATTATCATTTAACCCGTTTTTTTTCCCCTTCCTTCACATCCCTGCCAAACTCAGGGATAACAAGCAGCCTCTGTGTCCGCTCCATATTTTTGAACTTGAATTTCATCTGCTAAGCACAGATGACCAGAAGCATACAYAAGATTTCCTGAGGAAATTCCACCTGTGTCCTGTATGGTCTCCTCCTTACTGGAATCTTGCCCTGGTACAGAGGCTCACAGCTGCTTCCTCTCCAGAATGGTCACACTAGTGGCTCAACACAAGAAACATCCCTTCCCCTAATCCCCTTCAATCTTTATTGCTGTATATATTTTTTCTGTTCTCCAGCAATAATAAATAAAATTGCCAGCCAAAAAGACTCATTCCAACTTAAAGGAATGTGGAAACCCCAAGAACTAGCCCAAAAGTGATCATCTCATACTGCTTAGTCAACCAAGCTTTAATCCAAAGTAAAAAAAGCTTTGTACACTGCTATTGAATTTCCCTACTTACTGGAAAGGAAGAAGGTACTTCTCAATATACAGCCATGGGAAAAATAAGAAGAAACCAACTACTGACCTCCCAATATCTCACAGGTCAGCTTCCACCAGGAAATGATAAAAACAACTCTGGATTTCTCACCAAAAGAACAAAAAWCTTTCATAGTCCAAGTTCAGTCACTAAGAAAGAGCAATAATGGGCACATTTCAACGTAGCTTTGGTTTCCTGTGTACAGGAAACCCTGGATTCCTTAAGAAACTAACATACTCCATGACCCGCTATTTTTTAGATATTTACATTACATAATGTCCAGCATATTCAGTTTTTCACACTGCTGCACCTTCAGGACATTCTGTGAACTCYCACTCTGAAGCAACTAACAGGGACTACTCAGCACATCCATACACTGCCACAGGTATTTGAAGCCACACACATTACTTCTGTCCAAAGGCCCTCTGAAGTCTCCCACCCCCTTTGCRCTTCCACAACTTTTGAAGAACAATCAAGTCCAATAAAAATCCTTAAGCTTCTCCCTAGATTTATTTTAACCTAGATACCTTCCCATACTAAGTTCACACCACAGACATTCATGGAAAGGTGACCTCAAGCTGGCCTGAGTGCTCAAGGGGAAAGATGGTGTCACAAGAGACGAATACCCTTTTCAGATGGGTACTGTCAGTTCAGAGAAACATCACCAACACACAACCCACAAAGTGCACTAATTCCTACTTGTTAACAGACCACTATAAAGCAGGGATGATGCCTCTAAAGATCACAGAATGGCTTGGACTKGAAGGAACATTCAAATCCATCTCATTCCACCCATGGGCAGGGCCACCTTTCACTAGCTTTTTCCATACCCTGTCCAACATGAACACGTCCAGGGATGAGGCAGACACATCTTCTCTGAGCAACTTTTACCAGGGCCTCAACACCCTCACTGTAAAAAATGTCTTCCTTATGTCCAGCCTACACCTACCTTATTCTGATTTAAAGGACACACCAGACTGATCTACCCATAGCTCCTCCAAGAAAGGACCAGTCCAGTTATCACATCATACAACRGCTCTGAAGAACCACATTCAATGCCACAGCCACGGGACAAAACAGTWCCAAAATGTAATTTCCACTTCCATGTCAAACACCCCAACCCTGGACACAGCCTAGATCATCAATATCTTCTGAAACAAGGTTCCCAAGAAAAAGTTTCATTAAAAAAAAAGTAATCTTCTCCTACATTCTGAACAACAAATGAGAATTACATACTACAGACCCAAACTATTAGTGACCCTTTAAATCCCTTGGATTTCATTGCTAAATCTCACCCTTAATACAGCCTTGACTCAGCTGTCCAATGCCAATGGAGGGAAGGTAAGGAGCAGTGGACTGAGCGTGGCCAYCACCTTCACAACTGCAAAACCAGCATCATCTCAGGCACATGAGCCTCGAGACRCTGCATCCATATACCACAGTAACAAATGAGTTTACTGATTAAATGCAAGCTCACGAGGGCTCCAATGCACTGCCAYGGATTTGGGCTGTTTTTACTGATGGGTATCCGATCAGGAACCGTAAAAAGTCCCTGAACAGCTGCAGAAAGCTCTCCTTTATGACAGGGGACGAGTCYTCTCCAGAGCCCATGAAGGTGAGCTAGGACAACAGAGGATCTTGATCTTAACCCAGTACCGTGACGAGACCCACGCCGCGGCAGGGCCTGAGAAAGGGCTGCCCGAGCAGGGCCGGGGCCTGCCGCTCCCAGCACGTCGCACACGAGGCGCCAGCAGGGCCCGCAACCGGGCCACCCCACACCTACTTTGGCTCGCTTGCGGCGGCTGGTCCTGCGGCCCTCGGGGGTCTCGGCGATGCCGGTGGTTTCGGCTCCGGGCGCAGGGGTGGCCCCGACGGCCGACGGCTCAGACACACAGCCCGGAGGCGAGGCCCGCGGCGGCTCCTTCTTGCGGGGCGTGCGCTCCGAAGCCCCGCCGCTATCCGCCGAAGAGCCCAGGGCCCCAGCGGCGGCGGGCGGAGGTACCGGYGCCTCCGGCCCGGCCTCGCCGCCCGCCGCCGCCTCCGCGCCCTTCTTGCCGCCCGCCAGCATCGCCCCGGCCGCACAAAAGAGCCGCCCGAGGGCTGCGGCCACAGCCCGCACGTCACATCCGGGCCGCCGCGCACGCGCACGCGCAGCTCGCTCCTGTGCCGGCTGTGCCGGGCGGCCCCGTGGGCAGCAGGGGGCGCTGCACCCCCGCGGGCGGGACCTGCGCCCTCAGTGCCTTCAGCGCCCTCAGCGCCCCCTGCGCCCTCAGCGGGCCCTGCGCTCTCAGCGCCCTCTCAGCGCCCCCTGCGCCCTCAGCACCCGCTGTGCCCTCAGCGCCTTCAGCACCTTCAGCGCCCTCTCAGCGCCCTCAGCGCCCCCTGCGCCCTGTCAGCGCCCTCAGCGCCCTCCGCACCCTCAGCGCCTTCAGCGCCCTCTCAGCGCCCTCTGCACCCTCAGCACCCCCTTGTGCCCTCAGCGCCCTCAGCGGGCCCTGCGCCCTCAGCACCCTCAGCACCCTCAGCGCCTTTAGCGCCCTCAGCACCCGCTGTGTCCTCAGCGCCTTCAGCGCCCGCTGCAGCTCGGTATCGTCCCTGCAGCCGCGGCACCGCCACCGGCCCGGGTCCCGGGGCCTCCTCGCCTCCGCCGGACCCTGAGCGAGCACAGGCCCCGCGCACATCGCTCCGGCCGTCACTAATGGACCCCGCACATAGCTTTTCCACCGTTCCCCAGCCTGCACACCGCATCCACGGTCACAGCAGCAGGACCTGCTCGCGGCCGACAGCAGTAAAGAGAGACCCCAGTGGCCATAACAGTCCTGCGTGAACAAATGGAGGTCCTTGAARCGCTCGTTGAAARRGAGACRTTTATGCCTAWTKCATCACAGAATGGTTTGGATTGGAAGGGACCTTAAAACTCATCTTAAAGCAWGGGCAAGAATACCTTCCMCTAGAYCAGGSTGCTCCAAGYCCTGTCCAACCTCACYTTGGACACTTCCAGGGATGGGCAGCYACAGCTTCTCTGGGCAATCTGTGCCAGTTGTCCCTCAGAGAAGAATTTCTTCATAATATCTGATCTAAATCTACCTTCCTTCAGCTTAAAGCCATCTCTCCCTRTCCTCTCACTCTAGGCTCTTGTYCAAAGTCCCTCTCAGTTCTCTTGAAGCTCTTTTAGCACCTTGAAGGGGGACCCTTACCATCCAGTGGGACCCTTCTCTTTTCCACGTAAACACCCCCAGCTCTYCCAGCCTGGCTCCAGAGAAGAGGGGCTCCAACACTTGGAACATCACTGTGGCCTCTTCTGGACTCATTCCAACAGGTGTATGTCTTTTTTATGTTAGGGATGCCAGAGCTGGAGGCAGCTCTGCCAGTGGGGTCTCACACTAGCAGAGCAGAAGGGCAGAATCCCCYCCCTTRTCCTGCCCCCACTGCTGGGGATCAGCCCAGGGAACTGGGGTCTCTGGGTTGCACACACACATTACCAAGACACATCAAGCTTCATGTTCACAAAGGATTTTACTCCTTCTGTCACCTTTCRAAGTCTGGGACTTTTCCTCAGCATGTTTTCTCTCAAGTTTCAATKTAGACAAGCAGAAAAAGCTGGTAAGGCAGGAAACAGGAAGCTGAAGCTCCAGCATTTGGACAGGGCACTGCTGATCAATGCCCAGCAGTCCCTGCCTGGGAGGAACATACTGACAGAGATGTTCTGCTCTGGGTTCCCTTGAGTATGTGAAGAGTATTTGCTAAAGGTAAGAGAAAACTATATGTACACTTGCTAATTTTCTTGCCTCTCTCCTTAAAACTGGTCATTCCCTGGAAGGGATGGGGCTGGTCTAATTTTTGCACAGAAGTTTAACTAATGGATGAGACAAATGRTTTTCTCAAAGCACAGTTAACTTTTCCATAGCTTTTCCAGCAATGTTTTCCATAGCTTTACCCCAGCCAAAATCTCACTCAAAACCTGACACATTTATTCTTCTGAATTCACAGATTCAAGTTAGTGCTTTTATTTTTGAGGGCCTTTTATTAAATATGGTTAACATGACAAATATGGGCTCTCCATATTTGCAAAATTGTCTCCTAAATCTGTATCTATAGCTCATATTTACCTGGGGTATAAACACAATTAGAATAAGGCATACAAAAGGCTTTCAGCAACATCTTGTTTCACCCAAGACATCATTGTCCCCATCATCTTATAAGGCATTTTCCCCTGTGGTCAGAAACACAAATGTAAGCTAACAATAAAATATATGAGGATATTCTGACATGTGAAACAATGATTATTTGCTTCGATGACTTCTCTCTTTGCATAGAGCTGAGGAGAGCATTTTAATTTACTGCAGATAAAAAAATCTGKTTTTTATATGGAGTATGCACATTCAGGATGGTTCAACACATTTTTATGTACATGCAAATTTATATTCTACTTCTATTTTTACTTCAGCRAAAGAAAATATAATCCTATTTTTCATCAGAAAAGTCTGAGATAATCAATGGTGAAGCCATTTCCACGTTTACCCAGTTTGTTCTTCAAGTACTGATGTGGGCAAACTGTTTCCTGGTCTTTTCATAACATAAGAATTTTTATATATAAGAATTATGATGAAGAGCAAGTATGCCAGCAGTGCTGTTTCAGCTGGATTCATATTAATAATGAAAAACTCTCAATGGAATGGAGGATAAGCCCCCTCAGAATGAAAGTGTGGCTCTGATACACTGGCTGAGCAACTGGACATTTCCATATACATAAAAAATCTAGGCAAAATACAACAGAAATGGAAGAACTGAGATATGAAAAAAGGGAGAACAAGAGAGAATTGGCACCTGTCTCAAACATGTGGGTCCCATTCTGATTCCCTGTAACATCCTTTCATATCCCCCAGCAGCACCGTGGCAAGAGGAGCAGCCTAATTCCACTATAATGCTATTAAATACCACCTAGTGTGCATTTCCAACGAAGACATAGTACATTTCCTCAGCTATAGTTCATCCTTCTTCCCACACTTCAGAGAAAGAAGGTTTTATTAAGTAGCATTTCYATTATGACAGACATGAATGCAGGAGAAAAGCCTGCAGCTGCATTCAGTGATTTAAAACACACCAGCAAGTACAAGTATCATTATCCAGGAAATCAAGTCACCCAAAGCCTCTTCACTGTGAAGAGGCTGAGACTGGGAAGGTTCACAGAATGCTGAGAAGAGACAAAGGATCAAAAGCAATGTTCAAGGCATACAYAAACTTAAGAAAAAGGTGCTTTGAAGTCTACACTTGTTTTTCTCCCTTTAAAAGTTTATACTATGATATGGAAATAAAAGTCATTGTGTGGGTGGGGGGAAGGTCCTCACCCAGCACTTTTTCTAAATCAAGTTCCACAGTTTTGTTTTTCTTAAAAATAAGTAATTTATAATTTAATACCTGTTTCAGGATACTCAGATCTGTGGTGCTGTTAACAGTGCACTTAATTTGCATTATCCATTAAAAAAAATTAAAAAGCAGCTCTGAACTTTGCTTCTGAGACGGAAGCATGTCTCTGAACGAGCAATGATTGCTGTCACTCTTCCTTTGTATTTTTCAAGGCCTGAAGTCTCTCTAAAAGGGGTGGGTGGGAATAATGCCACATTGAAAAGATCCAGTCAGAAACAGGGAATCCTAAATTATCTTTGTTCAGCTTGATCAAAGCAGAATATAGGTCYTTAGCCTTCCCAAGTTCCTTGGCAAATGCATCTGCTTGAAACTCAAATCGTCGGCTTAATACAGTCAAACAAAACGAGAGAACCTGTGGAGAGAAATGTATTTAAAATTATTTTAAAATTTAGCTATCTGCAAACTCTTTCAATGCCAGTAAATGCTACCATATCTAGCTTCCCCACATCCCACACATTACTGTGGCTGCAGACTGATCTCACTAGGCTTTATCCAAGCCATACCTGAAACTGGGAGTCTTACCCAACATGCAGCACTAAGCCTGATTATCAAAATGAGACACCCAATATAGCCCCTAGAAACTTCAAACTTCCCTGACAAAACAGAATCATTATTTAAATAGGATGATACTTCAGTGTCTATGTCTTGAAAACAATTTACCTCATTGTAAGGTGAAAAAATGAACTGGAAAATAATCATCAAGCCTATCAGGGTAGGCTGGGTGTCATAGAAACCAAATGCAGCAAAGAGTTCTTTTTGACCAATCAACACAGCAAACAAGAAGAAGCAAAGGAAGGAATTCATCTAGAGAAAAGAAAAACATTCTTTATTAAGGTAAGTCATTATGTAACATCACATAAATAGATTTGCACAAGGATGCCACTGTGAAAAAATAAGATTACTTTTGACCTAATATACAGARAGGAACAAACAGCTGGTCTTTACCTGCTTTCTGCAAATGCAACAGTAAAAGAACCACTATTATCTGCCAAAAAAAAAGTAACGAAGGGAGATGAAAAAGCAARAAGCAAAGAGAAGTGAGGAGGGAGTACAGGATAGAACCCATTTCCTTGGAMTTAAGCATAGGCTCTAAAAAGTTTAAAGCCAAACAAAATGTGTCTRTGCTGTGTTGTACTTCTATTCCTGGAAACAATCTATGCTTCTATTTAAACCATGCAGCACTGTGTACAAGCATTGTGCTTGCCTGGCATTTTAGAGCCAAGTGGCAGGACCATGCCTTACCAAGTTTTCTAGAGGGGGTGATACCTTTTCAAGCTATCTAAGTGGTCATTTGGGTTTTTTTTAATAATACAGTAAGTGCCAGAATATTGTTGGTTACTGAAACACAGGGAACAGAAAAGAAGGATGGCTGTGATAACGACCARCCAAAAGAGAAGTTATCAGACTTTGCAGAAGAATTTGTGAAAATTTCTGAAGAAGAGGATATAGTGTATCTATCACAGCAAAACAGTAGTATCTAGAAAWTGTATCCAAAGACAAATTACATGAGTTAGCTAAGTGGCAAATGCAGTGTACTCGTTACTAGGTAGCAGGGATCAATGCTGGTGTAAGAAATTGGAAGGTAAATTGCCTTAAAGCAAAAAGCAGAAAGGGCCGCACTGAAACGCCCCCATGCAGGGAGAGYGGTCAGGATTGCTCTGTTG